TATATATATATATATATATATATATATATATATATATAATCATCAAATACAATTAATACATCTTCCATACTCATAAAAAATCCCCCTCGACTTCCAAATACTAAATAAAAGAAGGGTTATGTTCTCAAAATTATAACGCATCTCTTAGTCTTGTTTCTTTTGGGTGAGCAATGAATGGCAGACACTTTTCTCATCAAAATGACATGAATTGTTAGCACAGACTGTTTTGAATAGACCATCAAAAAGTTTCAGCCAATATGATCTCCAACCAACGGAATCCAAACAAAATAAGAGCTCGAATTCTGACAATTGATGAACACCCAATGATTCTGACAAGAAACAGTGATTCAAGTAGACAAGTGATAACACCTGCACAAGAACATGAGGAGGAAAAGCATCAGGTAGCAAATTTGTGCCTTCTGAATAGCCTCCATCAACCTTGAATGGTGAATATTAACTTCAAATAAGAATGTAAAACGGCATCAGATATGAAAACAGAAACAAATCAGCAAATGCGACTATTAAATGCTGCGACAAATACATAATATACAGCACCTAACAATTAAGAAGAGTTCTCACCTTGATGGAACAACTAAACTGCAAAGAGGTCATAAATAGCAGAACCAAAAATGTTACATCACCTAATGTCCAACAAAATTATACTTTCTGGTCTATGATAAATGTTTTCGGTATATCCAGAGAAGTCTACCATAAGCATACTTGTAAGAAATGAAAAAAATATGTGTATATATATAGCATTTCTTGCCTTCAAACACTCCTGAGGCACCTATAACCCTCTTTCCAAAGACAAACCATGTCTGATCTATAAGTTACTGCAGGTGGTATCACTTACAGATGAATGTACCGGGAAATCATTTACAAGTTTCCATGAGCTGCATCAGAAAAGCTAACTAAATGGTAAAAACAGATGCAAAATATGGTTGCCAACTGCAAGCCATCCTACGCAAGAAGATATTATACTAAGGGATGTATTTAACATTCGTAACACGATCACATCTTTTTTCGGTTTACAAAATATAGTTGTTCGGTTATTAGAGTTAGGGGTTGCTACGAGTAAGAGAAAACATGAAATTGGATAACTAACTAGAGTAGATATTTACATTGTCACAATTTAGTAGTTCCACCAAGTTCCACTATAACCAAATCAAGCCATGAAATGTAAACACCAAATAATCCAAACATACCCTATGACTTTGACAGTCTTATTCCTGCACAAACCACGGAATGGGAAAGAAAGGAGCAATAGTGAAGTTGTGGTGAATGGTGATTAGCAAAGAACTACTTCTACAGAACACACTTTCATACATCTAAAAGAAGACAGATTTATGGATTCAACCGGGAAGCCATCCAGAAGCATCTCTCTATCAAAAACTATGATTTCAAGTCCATTTGATCATCCTAACATAATTATACCTTTTTTCTTGTACAAGTTATGGACATTTCACTCTCTCTCTTTGTTTTATATATCATGATACTATATAGCATAGATCAGTTTCAATGGTTTGAATAATTGGTTTCTGATATCATAAATGGGACATGTGTTTAAATAAATAAATATAGGCAAGACAAAAAATTCTTGAAAAATAATCCACCAAAATTCTAATATTAATTTGTTTTCTAACATCCAATCCACTAAACACAACACTTCATTGGGTTATGTAGATGCAGTCCCTAGGATCTACTGCCACAATTCACAAGTAGCATTAGAGCCATCGGTGTTAGATTCATGTAACAGTCCAAAGGAAAGGTCACCATTCTTTGAAAACTAGGGTATGGTAAGAACAACTCACCACTGAATAGAAGTCAATAATAGTAGTTCATCAATTCTACTAACTCCAGTTGCATTGGTTTTTAGATGCATGGTTATATGACATCAGATATACCAAGAGTATCCCTGAATGGTTGGAAAAACATTCAAATTTCTACAGGAAACATAAAGCTGACTCCTAACAATTTATCCATCACGACATTTTCTGAAAAGTCTACAATACATTAGCTACAGAAGTACAAAATTACCAATTCATTGTCAAATAGGAGGCCATAGATTTTAGTAAACAAAGCTAAACCTTTTAAAACATTTAGTATGGAGAAATAATAAGTGCATTATATATACGTACAGCGAGCAAGAAGTTGAACCAACGGATTCGTACAAGGGAAAACGAAAGTAAATATCCGTTAGAACTGTTCTATGAACACAATCTACTGTGAAACGGAACATTATAGCTCGACCAAAAAGACAGACAAAGATCTATTAACAACAGATAGCCATAATCTCACAAGGAATAGAACATAAGAGGCATTCGTACTTGCTAAGTTGGTGCTACAACAAAAGGCAATCTCAGGTGCTTGCATGAGGCACTCAAAGCAATCACACAACTAGTCTTAGAAAGATAACATAACCACACTGTTTGTTTCTTTAAACAGACCATCTACTGAATACTTACCAAAAGATCATTTTGAGACCAAAAGAACTTCTGGCTTCTTCGGCTTGCTTGGAGTGTTAGGTTTTGATGAATTGCTTGGGGCAATTTCAGGTTTTGCTGCCTTCCTCGCACTCTTATCCAGCTGAATCAAGCTACGGGAAGCCAGGATGGCCTGTGGCAGCAGATCATGCGAAGCTCGAGCATAGACACAACGCACTGCCATAGATGCCGAATCCCTCACCTCTTGGGGATTCAGAGGTGCTAGAAGACAGTGCCCTAAAATCCTAAGCACCGGCTGCAAAAGCTCCCAAGGGAGAGGAACCCTCGACCCCCTCCTCGAGGCTCCACCTCCTTCGTCCTCCCCATCACAGTGATTGCCATTAGGACCCTCCTGGATTGCTAATTTCCTCATCTCCTCGGCAGCGCCTCCAATTCCTCCGTTGTCCTCGAAAAATATCCTAACCTGGGGCGACGAGGAGGACGAGGACGGGGACGAGGAGCAGAGTGAGGATCGATTCAGGTCATCATCATCGAACTCGAAGCGGCAGGGGCAATCCTGGCCAGCCCAGGCGGCGACGAACTCGCAAAGATCTATTTTTGAGCGACTGGGCATGAAGGAGATATTCTTGTAGTAAGAATCAAGCGCCACGGCGACGATGCAAGCACGCTTCGTGGACTTGACGGCGATTTGGGGCTCGAGAGGGGGGGAGAGAATGCCGACGGAGGGTCGAGGCGGAGGCGCAGTGGCGGCAGATGGGGGCTGGCGGGAGGGGGCAGAGGGGCGGGGGGTGTGGTAGAGGGAGGGGAGGGAGAGGTCGGGAACGGAGACAAGGACGGGCTTTCCAGCGCGGGCTTTGACCTCGGCGGCGTATAGGGCAAGGAGGACGGCCTCAAACCCGGCGAGAGAGGGCGGGTTGGCGGCGGAGGATGAGGAGGAGGATGAGACGACGCGGGAGAGATAATGGCCAGCGAGGAGGGGGAGGAAGGAGAGGGCAACTAGGCGGAGGTCGGAGTCGGATGACTGGAACGTGTCATAGAGCCAGTGGCAGAGGGGATCATCGCCGGATCCAGAGGAGGGGGCGGAGAAGGCGGCGGAGAGCGCGGCGTAGGCTAAGGGGGAGTCAAGGAGGGAGCGGGCGGGGCGGTCGGAATCCGCCAGCGAGGCAAGGTCCGGCGAGGACAGCACGGAGGCCAGGGACAGGATCCGGGAGCGGGCTCGGGAGATAGACTCCCACCACGACTGCGTCGCACTCGCTGCGGGGGCGCCGCCGCCTCCCTCGTTACGGTTCGACACGGGGTTCTCCGTGACATCCACGGCTGTAGAAGTGGTCGTGATGGTGGTGGAGGAGGAAGGGGAGCCGGCGGCGGTCGGCATCGGGCGGTGGAGAGCGATTAGGCGAAGTCAGCGTAACCCCCTCCTCGTCGGTGAGATCGGGTTGGTTTCTACGGGCCCTGAAAAGACCAGTATTGGTCACGTGCATATCACGTGAATGCTCTTCGAAGATGACCGTGCGCTGCTTCGCTCAGTTTGACTCGTAGACTTCACTCAGAAACAGTAAACTCTGAGACAGAAGCAGTAATCGCTTTCCTCTGTTTCTTCGGAGATAGCATTTCTCTATGAGAAGGACCAAACGAGACTGCCAATTCTTTACCGAAAAATCTCTCAGTAATCAATTCTTTACTGCTCACAGTCACAAGAAATAGCTTTTCCTCAAGTGTTAAAGAGCTCAGAGATGAACTCATGGAATCATGAGATCTGATACAGATGGAAGAAGAGATACATATATGTATACAGACTTCACATAGTTATGAGAACATCAATCTGAATTCCACACATTAGATTCAACTTGTGACAGTTCTATTCAATAAGCCCCTCAAACCAATCAATATACATACACAACAGACCTTCCTCGGAGAACAGAGCTTACTACTAATCCAGGAGAACACATCAAGCACCAAGCTTTACACAAGCAAACTGACCTCAAAACCTTGTTTACATAGTGAGGAGTGACATCGGCGAAATCGCCTTTGCACTGAGCTGCTTCTTGAATGGATGATCAGCCTTATCATAGATGAGAACATATGTTCAGAGATCATTTCGACTGGAACATTACAATTAAGTGTGTCTTCTTGCTTTGTCGACTAGATTTCAGATTTTGTGCTGTTATCACCAGGCTCAGTGACTTGTCTTGCTGATACTCTTACTTTATACTGAGGACTGTTGGAATATGGTTGCCCAATACGTCCTGCTCGATGCTCCTGATTTTGACAATGCAACCAAATAAATTTGGATGTGATACATCAATCAAACCAAATCAATCCAGTTCTAGCTAATAACAAAAATAGCATATGTAGCAAGATTGATATAAAAATCATGTTGTCGCGCTAAATTTTCTCCTGACTAGAGTAAACAAGCAACTCATGATCATTCATACATGTTCCATTTACGGCAATAGCTACATAACGAAAAACTTGATACACGACATTCTTCAGGAACAAAATAGGTTGCTTCAAGTTCTTAGCTCAATGTTCTGTAGTGCCAGATTAAAAGAGAAGGTAATAGAAACTAACGGAGTGATGCTTTACATGAAAATGAAAGCAATATTCTCCAAGTATATTAGTAAGTCAGGCTGAAGGATGAGAAGACAATTTGAGGGACACACAAATAAACACATAAAAGAACAATGTTAAAACTAGCATGCATAAGGAACATCTTACGAGCGTCAACAATAGACGACAATGAGAAGAAGCACAAAAAATCTAATAGACTTTCATGACATTAGATCTCTAATCTATGATTGACTCACATCTTGGTAGGGGAAATCATCAACTTCAAGCATGTGTATTACATGCCCCATCTTTGGCCTTTGTTGCGAATCAGGATCCACACATCGCAGTGCGACTAAAAGTGTCTTCTTTAATGTCCTCGACAAAGGTTTCTCAGCCATCTTTGGATCCACAACTTCGTCGGTATTTCGATTACTGACCATGGTCTTAATCCACTCTATCAGATTAACCTGTAAAAGAGCCACCAAATTTGTAGAAATAAGCACACACAAACTTCGGAAGCATGCAGAACCAACACTAACCTCGCCAGGAGGCCTGCTATAATCGACTGGCCTACGACCAGATATGATCTCCATGATAAGTATCCCAAAGCTATAAACATCACTCGTCTCATTCAACATACCAGTACTGGCATACTCAGGAGCCACATAACTGTCAGGAAGGAACAAATCAGAGTTAGAAATCTTCAATTCTTACTTAGTTGCTATGTGGAAGGAAGGAAAGAAAGAAACATCAAAGGAAGCAGCATTTGGATCAACCCAAAAGTTCCCATCACGCGTGTCGTGACATAGTTTCTTCCTGTGCCTAACAGCTTCGCAAGGCCAAAATCAGAGAGCTTGGGAGTCCAGTGCTTGTCGAGCAGGATGTTGCTCGATTTAATGTCGCGATGAACTACTTTGGGTTCAAGTCCTTCATGCAAGTACAGTAGCCTGCAATTTCCACAATTTACGTCTCAAGATGAATCGACAAACGGTGCTATGGCCAAAAAAATTAAGGCTTTTCTGATACCCTTTTGCTGTTCCAAGCATGATGTTCATCCGGATGTCCCAGGTAAGAGGGCTGCTTGGTCCAACATCTCCATGGAGCCACTGTTCGAGGTTCCCATTGTCCAGGTATTCATAGACAAGCATCCTAAATGGCAAACGAACCACAAGGTTGGAAGATGATTCATGCACAAAAGAAGCACCCAAATGTTGCAATTGGAGTAGATGAGGGAATACCTTTGAGCACCTTCCACGCAGTATCCCAGTAACCTCACTAGATTCTTGTGGCGGGCGCGGCCGATGGCTTCGACTTCGACCTTGAATTCCTTCTCTGCCTGCCCCCTGGAACACAATCTAATCGGTCAGAGATGCAGCACACACAAATGGGTATCTCTGCCTGCAATGTGAGCTTGGATTGAGTTCTTGCATTCCTACTGTGCCCAATTACAAGACATGAGTACCATACTTGTTGTTCAGCAAGTTCTTCACTGCAATCTGAGTGCCGTCTTCCAAGATGCCGTGGTAGACGGTTCCGTATCCGCCTTCTCCGATCACATTCTCGTCGGAAAAGTTGTCGGTGGCCACCTCAAGCTCCCTGAGAATGAACCACAGCCCCCACCCCAGGCGGGACACCTCCGCCGGGACGGCGGCAGCCTGGTCCGTGGGACGTTTACCGAGCGGCGAGCCGCCTTCCTCACTTTTGCCACGCTCAGGGGAGGCGACACGAGCTTTCTGGACAACGACTGGGCTCTCATCTTCCTTCTGTTTGACGGATCGAGGAGATGTAACAACGGCGGAGGTCTGAGAAGGATCGACGCGAACTTCTTGGATTTCTTTGGATGTAACGGGGATGGTGGCGGTGGTCCGCCGGGAGGAGGCATTCTTGCGCATGAGGCTGAGGCAGAGAGAGAGAAGGAAGAGGAGGAGGAACCCCGTACCGGCGCAGATGCTGATTACGACCCAGAGGCGGAGCCCAAAGATGTTTGTGCGCGCCGAGAGCTCGTGATCCGACATGCTCGAAGGGCCAGGGAAGCTCTCTGCTCCAGAAGAATCCTGAGGGAAAGATTGGATTCTGAAGAGGAAGCTAATGGTGAAAGAGAACTTCTTCCGCTAAAGATTGAATCTTGAAGGGAGTGGTGGTGGCATTATGGATAAGAAGAGTAAGAAGACGGCAGTTCTTTTCACTGCGTCGTGGATAGGAAGATGCTAAATCTGAGAACATGGTACCAGACATGCATGGCTGCAAGAAATGTTCAGCAGCAGTGCATGAAGTAAAGAAAGGAGCAGGTGTGTATGATTGAAGAAAAAGGAGGAAGAGGGATGTGAGCCATTAGAGAAGATGGTACTTGAAAGACAGATGGAGATGACAAGAAAGTCACTTGGAGAGAGAGAGAGAGAGAGAGAGGAAGAGGTTGCAGGTGTCATGGGTTGGGACCTACATGGAGCAACGGAAGCCTCCACCCCGCAAAAGGACACTGCAGAATACTGGGATTAGTTGCGCAGTAACCATTGTGGGGGAGAGTGATCTTTGAGGCCTCGAATCAACTCACAGAACATGACAGGTTAGGGGGATATCATCGAAATGAACATTCTATTTTCACCCTTGTGTTTATAGTGAAAACTCAGAAAGAGTTTGTTCTTCTTAGCATCGCTATGCTAGATAAAAAGCATAACTACAATCATGTCTCTACAAACTTGACTTCTACTTTGTTGTATAATACTTCATTCGTCCTTTTTGCTTGTGCTGAAGACAAAATAACCAAAAGCCTACAGAGAATAATAAGAATGTTGTGTGTAATGTTCATCACACCACACCATATGAGAGTTGGGTCATGTCGGAAATCCCTACTTCAGCTGCAAGAGGGGATGGAGTGCAAGTCCTAAAAAGGTAGCTTCGTTGACGGAAAGAGAAAAAACAATGCATGTATGTACGATTGCAGGGAAATAAGCTTTGGATTTGAATGGAAGAAAGATGTAGATGACATGATTACGTCGCTCTTTACTCACCCCTTCCTTGAGCTTTAATCCATGAATAATTTCTGTGGCAGCAGCACATCGATCCAAGCTCAACCACTAACCAGTATCGCCCACCACCCAAAGCAATCCATGGCTTTTGGAATGGGAACAAGACTCGGTTGTTGGATTGGTGCCATCACATCGTTTGGTAGTGTCCTCCTCCGCCATGGATTTAAGTCCAACCTGTGGTTTCTTTTATGCTTGAAATAGTAACTCTTTTCCTTGGATATGTAACCAATACGTGTTGTGTGCAGAAAACCAGTGGAAATTCCTAAACATTCTACAAAAAGAATATGCAAATCAAGTAAACACACACATCAAACAGGACCCTAATAAATTGAAGGAAGAAAAAAAGGGAGAACCGATCCACACATTACGTGATGCAATAAACATAATCAATGGATCAGTCGGTCACATGGCAGGTTATTGGTGGAAGAATGATGCACTGTATACAAGCTAGAAGAGGAGGGGGCCATGGCAAGCTGTACCGCATGACAAGGCAGGAAAAAGTAATGGCTTACAGGCACCGGCGGCTGCTTCTCCCTGGTTCTCGGTGAGGGCAGTGGGGTATACTGACACCAACCTTGGAGAGATTGATGAGGCAATGGATTATGTTCAACCTTGGATAGGGATTCTAACTTATATTGTAGATAATGCAAAACATACAAAAGAATCCAATATAAGAACATAGGGCCCAATTTATAGTTCCTGCTTCATCTCCAAACCAAAGGTCATGTTCTTTCACCAAGAAAAGAAAGAGTTGGTAATGTTACCTGATGGAAAACAATTAAGCAATGATTCTTTTCTCTGCCAAAGAAGGAAGCAATGGCGTTATTTTGCATGTCATAGGTACAGTATATGAAATAAATACTACATTAAAACAATTACTTCTATGTTAGTTCTACAGCATCTCAAGATACCAAGGTAATCATGTTAAATAATCCACCAGCTCACTAGTGTTCCTGGTGATAGGTTCAAACCTGGCCTTCCTAGTGTATCTAGAAAACAAGGGTGCGGAGTGCCACGGCATGCTTCAAGAACGTAAAGGTGAGATCTGAGCTTGTCAACCACACGAGTGATATCAGAAGGGGACACTAGATTCATACTGAAATTGATCCACCTATTTCATTCATGGTTTCCATACACGCACTGTGCCATCAACAGTAGATTCGTACTTAAATTGATCCACCTGTTTCATGGTTTCCATACGCGCACCGTGCCATCAACAGATGATGTAAGCATACAACATTCTTTTGGATGATAATTCACACTCGTGACCTGAAAAAAGAAGTAAATTATGTTAATCCCAGTGACAAGTTACTTGATTACTATACATTTTACCACATGAGAAAACAGACCACAAAAGACTAACCAAAATCTAGCATTCCACACGTCACTCCTAGTGATCCAATTGTAACATCAACTAATATGTTTGCAAAAATGAGAAACATATCTTAAAAGGAGTGCTAAGCACCCATTGTCTCATAAGGCTGCATCTATGTAACAACATAAAGAATCTGTCTGATGTCAGCCTAATAAGCATAGAAAGAGCTTATTTTCCGACAAAATTTTATGAGGATGTTAAACAGTTGAACATTGACAAGAATAATTTATGAAACTTTCAATTGGATGACTGAAGCTTAAGCTTCTAAGCCATATAGCTTAAGCTGTTAGTAAATGGCTCAAAGTTGAACAAGAGTTTAATGGTGGTACGAGCCTTCTGCTATTCGGCAGCACAGGGAGTGGGTGTATGACCCATGTCATGAGTCTTACCGTCTTTCGCGGGTCAGGGATGGAGTGACCCCCAAAACAACAGCCTTCACAGCAGCTATGGCCAACCGCAGCCGGGTGGCCCAGGTTGCAAATGACAATGGCCCAATGCCAGTGGTGTTGGTAGTGGGGTCGTCGCTAGACCCTCCAAACTTATCAGCCACTTCACCCTCTTCCTCCACCATGATGCTGTCATCCTCGCCACCAACGATATAAATGAGTGGCCCAGTCAGTACTCCGTTGCCTTCATATGGTAGAGGAAGAGATCTACCTAGTGGCGGATACAGTAAATTGATCATGGAATATAACCCAACGGTGAGGTACGGTGAAGCCTCATTTAAGTATGGCGAAGTATTTAGCTCTTCCATTTGGTCATTTATGAGATTTACAATGCTGCCTAGTTCCGGTACGTCTATCGACTAAAACAATGGTCTTGGATAGGTTACATCTACAAGCTCATAAACCATCCAAACAAGAGTGACATGATGAAATATTATAAAGATGCACTTTTAGACCTTTCACCTTTCTTGACTGTTTGAGAGGATTTCTGAGTGTCTGATGGACTTTTCACAAACATAAGGCCCATCATATTGATGATTCATTAGTAAACTAAATATCATATGCATTCCCACATGCACAAAGAACTAGCATTAACATATTGATACATTAAGGTGTGACAAGAAATAAGGTCGGCATGCATCACCATGTTATCAAAAAACGAGAACATCTATTCTTACAATCTAAAATGTACAGATATAAGTAAGGCCTATATTATTCAACAAATAAAAACATGAAGCCAAAAGATTACCACAGAGCGATGAGCTTTGAAACTTGAAACTACAGATGCATCTACTAGATCCCAGAAGAAAATTGTCCCATCCTCGGATCCACCAGTAACATGTGCATCAGTGTTGGTTAGACAACAATCCATCTTGTAAGACTACAGCACAAGATAAAACTAATAACAGTTAATAAGGCTATAGTTATTCCGGTCTCATGATCAACAAAGCAAGATGGAAGAACAGTTAAAAAGTGACAGAGTAAATAACAATAACAAAAAGATCAAGTGACATCAACATAAACAAGTGTACACATTTTTAAACCTTGCAGGTATGGCCCTTGTACTCTTGTAGAAGTTCTCCAGTGGACCTGTTGTGGATAGGGAAAACACAGTTTAAGGAAAAACATATCAACATGCACCAAAGGTTAGTATTAGAGACATTGGAGAGTTACCTGTCCAGAAGACGTAGAGTTGAATCCAAGCAACTTGCTAAGACACAATTGCCATCATTCGACAATGAAATACAGTTGACAGCCTGCCCCAAATTGTCAACTAATTCTCTTCATTCGGAATGGAGGAAATCATTAGACAAACACCCAAACTGATGCAATTTGAATGTGGCAGGAATTTTTTTAATCAAGGGAAACTCACCTCCCAATTCGTATGTCAAACGTGCGAACAGTTCCATCAACACTTCCAGCAATAATTTCAGTTTTTGTCAAACAAACAGACATCACGCTGTCTTGAAATGTATCAATGATCTGAGAGGTTCATGCGCGAGCTTTAGTGCAAGACTCAATAACAACAAAGATTTCTTTTTTCCTTATTTTCCTTCAATATGAATAAATGTGATGTGGAACCTGAAATCAACTCGCAAGAGAGCATGGAAGTTGACCTGAATGGGCTCTGTACTCTGGGATCTGCAATCCCACGCACGAACGGATTGATCATAGCCAGCCGACACTACGACTGAGTCATACGCATTAAACTTCACAGCATTCACCTAAAGAATTAGGAATCAAAGATGTAACATACATTGGGTAACGTCATCGAAAAGCACGATCAAGCGATCAGACACAATCTCTAGAAAATGATCATTTCCTTCGGCAACTTACTGATACCAGTGTTAGTGATAACGAAGAAGACTAATGTGCGCGAGCAGCCCTCGATTTCGAGGAACCCGAAACAGAGCAATGCTCATCCACCGAAACCCTAATCCCTAATCAAGAAACCCATCACACAGGCGCGGTGCGACCCGATTGCCCATCAATACAAATACACGAAACCCTAATGCCCGAAGTGGGAGGAATCCGTCCCGGGAGAGGAGTAGACGGCGGCATGAGGACTCACCTCACTGTCGTGGCCTCGAAACTTGCGGATGACGCGGCCGGTGGAGACATCCCAGTAGAATATCTGGCGATCACCGCCGCAGGAGCACAGCTTCGCGTTGTCCCTGCGGCGACAACAACAACATCAAGAACTTTTCTTTGATCCAGAGGGGAAGTAAGAGAAAGAGGGAGGGAGGACGGACGAGGTAACATGGACGTCACGGATCTCGCGCCCGTGCGACTTGTATGTCTTGATGTGGATGCCCCGGTGGGGATTCCAGAGGCGGAGGGTGCGGTCCTTGCCGCAGCTGAGGCAATAGTTCCCGTCCCCGTTGAACCGGACGGCCAAAACCGGCCCCTCGTGCCCCTTCAGCACGTTCGCCTCCTTCCGCGGCAGCTCCACCCCGCCGCTGCCCCCGCTCGCCATCGACTCCGCGCTCTCAACTCTTCCCACGACTGCGACGACACGCACAGAGGTGTCGACGGAACGACGTGGTCTCTCTTCTAATCGGATTCGGATGAAGAAGTATCGGGTATCGGATTCGAATTCGGATTCGGAATCATCGCGCTTGGATTGTATGGTTGGGGTAGCCATGAAAAATGACATGGCGCAGGTGATAAGGTCGACCGTAATTTAGGGGACCCATGAGAGACACAGCCAGTTTTGGACCTCGTGATGACGATCGGATAAACCACGACCGGTTTGTGGTTTTGTGTATCGTGTACATGTCCGGTGATGATGAGACACGACTACAACTCGACCAAAAGCAATCATTCTTGTGGCCATCTTTCGAATCACGAGAGTTCAACACGTTTAGGTTCGATCTCAGATATTGCATCAGTCATCACAATCGACCATGATTTGGGTCATGTTCGTTTCAAGCATGATTTTATTTGATGATTAATCGATTACTGTCAAATTCAAAGATAAATATGAAAACCCAATATATATATATATAAAAAGCGTATAAAAGAGATTTGACACTCATTTAAAGTTCCTAAAGATTAAAATCGATAATAATTATTTTTGAAGATATTGATAATGTAATCATTACTAAGATGATTGAACCCAATAAGTTCCCAAAGGCGACGGTGCGTCCCACTTCTGGGCCTGAAGGGCACAGCAAAGATTCTCGCAAGGCAGAAAGGATAAGTCGACGTGGACTTCCCCTTTCCAACCACGTTGCGATGATGCAGCCAACCAAAGTCTCACATTTTTTTCCGACCATCTGTCTTTCCAAGTAATATACAATTCAACAAAAGACAGCAGACTTTTTCCATCCCCACTCATGCACAGGAAAAAGCATTCCTTGCAGTGCTTCCTATATGTATAACGAGAGAGTAAATGGCAATCCAAAAACTCCATAGGAAATTAGACAGGAAGTTTACAGCCACTGGGAGGTAAAAGCTTGTTGGCGTCAGTGCTTCCACATGGAGCCGCCCTTCCGGGGGATCTTGGGCTTTGGGATCTGGTGGATATCCATCACCTGGATCGTCCGCTGCTTTTTAGCTTCCAGCCGATCCGAACGACACCACAACTCAAGCCATCAGCACCGATCTATTCTTTACGTTCTCTAAGAAACAATGTTTGGGAGGGCAAAAGAGTTACCATTTTGAGCCTCCTGGTAGTTCTCATGGAGTCTTTTTCTCGCCGAAGCGAGCCTCTCCGGGTCCAGCAAGCTGTCCTTGTGTTCCTTCAACTTGTGCTGATAAGGAGAGACATAGATTAGTGACGAAAATTTTGGAAGAGTTTGACTGAGAATGAGAAAGGGAAAAAAGGATGGTGGATTCTTTACAGCTGGAGAAGCAGAAGATGGGGCGTGGGTGGAGGTGTTGTTGGTCTTCGTCGGATTAATGGCGGACTTCGCCTTTGGTTCTACGGACTCCGAGCTATTCCTCTCGGAGCTCAAGTAGCCAGCTGCTTCGAATCGACGTTTGGTGTTCTTTATAATGAAGAAACTAGCGGAAACATAGATCTAATTTACGTTTACTTATTTCCGTCACGTACCGTGTGGATTCGGTGAGTATCCGAATTCTGGAACCTGGCAATGGAACAAGAATTAGCCAGTGAGAATAAAAGAAGAACTCGATCGATTAGCGATTACATGGAAGAAGTGGGAAGCTCATACGTGGTGCCCGTTCTGGTTGTTCTTTCCGGAGATCTGCTGTGGCGAGTCTCCATCAGCTGCAACACAAGCTTTTCGTCAATTAGATGCATTTGGAATGATAAGGCGAAAACAAAAGGAGTTTCTTTTTCTTCTTCTTGGGTTGTTTTGATCGGGTATGGTTGTTTACTGATGATTGCTGGAGACGCGGTGTCGCATGCGGAATTCGATGTCACCCACTCGTCCACGAGATCTTTCCACTTCCTGTGCATCAAATAGAGATGAGAATCCGATGCTTTCTTTCTTACTCGAGCTAACAGAAATCCATTCGATTCGTCGGTTCATCACCTGACAAGTTGCTTCACCAATCGCCGGACCTCACTAGAGGGATGCTTCCGAAGACCATTCACATGCCTTCCGATATCAGTTTCCTGCAGAGTAATCAGCAGAAAAATATCAACTTTGTTTGGAGTCATCAGAAGAAAAAGAGGTATCTTTCAGCTGAGAAAAAGCCGTTTTTTGGATGAAATGCATCACCTTGAGAGCTCTGAATGTGATATCCATGTCCGCAAGGTTCTGCAGCAGCCTAACCAAAGAATCTTCCGACTGTTCCACCAAACAAGATGTTACTCCAAGAACAATACAAGTGTTGGGAGGAATCAAAGACGGGGTTTTTGTGAGAAGGCAGCAAAGCGACAGACCTGATCGGGGTCGTCCAAAAACCGTTTGATGCCCAGGATTTTGCTCTGCTCTTCGTCGATCGAACGGCCATAGGTCCTCTGATCATCCTGCTCTTCCTCCTCGGCCGCCGCCGCCGTCCTATTCATCGACTCAGGCGACGGCGGGGATGCCGCCCCCACCGCCGCCCTCTTCTCCGCCGAGCTGCTGCTCCCCTTCGCCTCCTCCCGCCGCGGCACCACGGAGCCGCCGCCGGACGACCCGCAGTTCCTGCACCGCCCGGCGTCTCCCGCAGCGTAGAGCCGCTGCACGATCCCATCCCTCCGTGCGCGGAGCTCCTGCCGGTGCTCCGCCGCGGCCACCGAGATGGCGGTGTCGATCAAGGCCCAAAGATCCACCCCGGCGTCCCGCATCCACCTCCTTAGGTCCTCCGCCTCCATCGCCTCAGATCGATTCACTCCTCCCGTCGCGAGCGAGAAACCCCTGGCCTCAAATCCGCGCTGGGATCCGACTCCTAAATCCTCTCATCATCGCCATCAACATTGCTCCGTTTCACTTTAAACACCACGAGACCAATCGCCGCATTCGGTAGAAGTGCGATCCGTCGATCTTTGAGCTTCCCGGGACTCGAATCCAGCCAAATCTAACGGAACTCGAACGAGAATCGCGAAAAGGAAGGGAAGGGAACAGAGGATTCCATGTTGAGGAGGAGAAGGAGGAACACCGAGGAGCCTCTAATTCTCTCTGGAGTTTCCTTTTCCTTCTTGTAAGGAATATACCCGCTTTCGGCCCGTCCCGGTTCATCCCATGATTGGAGGCAGCGAACTGGGCCATCGCCGGGCCCACAGCATGCCGCTTTGCCTAGCCTCACATACCATTGTCCAAGTGCCCGGCGACGGGTAAGGCAAACGGGTATGATTTATTCTTCGTTCGTATTTTCGGTTTTAAGGATAAGAAACAACTACAAAGACGTTTCCGACGCACCGTTGCGGCGTACCTGAGTCAGGATTGGCTTCGACTGTGGCCCCACATGTGAAGAGTGTGACTTCTCCTTGCCGTGAGACTCCGAGACATGACACCATCGCCACCACATGGTGTGACACCTAAAGCGTGCACAGTGAAAGCAGTGGGAGGAGTATTAGCTTGCACACATCTGTTGGGAGCGCGTGATCCCGAGCCCACGGTGCGACAGCTAGCGCCTGCATCGATCCAACGCCTCGCCTCAACGGTGGTCGGTCGTCATGGCTGGCGGGCGGGCGGGCGCGTGTGGGGGCGCTGCAGGCGAAGGCGTCGGATCGTACGAGACGAATTACGTCGAACACATAGCGGGCATACGGTCACTGCAAGGAGGAGGACACGGGTGTGTGCGCTGCTCTTTGGATCGATTTTGGGGTTGTGGTGGGAAACCATTGAACGTGGCATATATGCGGAAGGCTGTGCATCTGAATGCGACGGCTTGCTATCTGGATGGGATGGGAGCAAGTTTGATGGAATATGCTGTCTGGTCCAGCTTCGTTTGCAGTAGCCCTATCTGCAAAGAATAGAAGGGTGACAGGAGAGGCGAGGCGAGTCATCGGCATGTCTCCATATGCCACAAGTGTCATACCTTCCTTATTGGGCAGTCGCGAACTGGCATCATGGACGTTCCCAAATCAATCTGGATATTTGGGATATTGATCAGATCAAATTTGATCTATAATTCGACTTGATAAAATTGATCTAACATGATCTATTTTTGAAGTACTTTATATGTATTTTTTATGCTGAACAAACGCATCAATGTGAAAGTAGGATGTTTACAGATATATCAAATATCTAACCTCGATCATACTTCATATGTCCATATAAGTAAGCAAACGATAGCACACAACTTCGTGACCTCAGTTATAGTCGGACAATGCATGCAATTATTCAAGACATTAACCACCACCGTCTCAACCCAAGGGTCACATATCCTACTGACTAAGTAACATGTATCTTATAGACTGACATAATTCCTAGAAGATTTTAACTCAAATATTTTGTATTCGGATGCCATCTTAACCTAAGATAAACTTGAAAATGAATCTTGGTTGGCTCCAAAAATCAAAATCCAACAAAGTAGTTGTCACAGCAAAATGAAAGATGTCCAAGTTACAAGCCCATTTGAGGTTACAAATAGTAGATTTTGAGGTTAAAAAGTTCACAAATGGTAAATTTGGACCATAGCAGCCGATCATAGCTCAGCCCATTTGATTTTTGAACTCAGTGTAATCCTGGTCTCCATATTCAAGCACATCATTTTAAGAATGTACAAATATACAATTAAAAATCTGTTATTTATCATATTCAAGCACCCGTTTTAACTACAAAGTAATGTTAGTGATAGGTCATTAACACAGAGAAGTGCAAAGTAAATCACATGACTTGGCCTTAAATAACCATAGTAAAGGATAAGGGGGAGGGAGCTCTTGAACTTACAACTCATTGTCAGAGATTAGAGCAATTTGATTGTGCACATCTATGACTTCGATGCCATTTTATGGGATCGACAACATGCAAGAAAACAAGAAAAATGAAGTTATCAGTATATGTCCTCGTGCCACAATATGACAATTCTTGATGTAGACTCGGCACAAACAAGAGCAGTAAAGAAAGAAGCTATGAACATTGACGCTTACCTCAAATTGATGTATTAACCAAAGGTAAGCTGAAGGAGAATCATATAGTTTTATAATTTAAAATAATAATAATAATAAATATTAATTAGTTGACTTAAAAATTCTAAAAGTAATGTTGAAGATTGAAAAATATTTTAGTATTTACAAGAACTCCTTTTATATTAAGTGGATTCTTATGTTAAGTACACTCATTTATTATTTATATATTTTAAATTTTTAAAATACATATTAATTCCTTAGGAGATTACTCATGAAAATTATTACCTTCATTGATTATAAAACCCCTAAACCCCTATAAATAGAGGAGCATATAAAAAAAAACTTACTTTATATTTCTCTTCTCTAATTTCATTTCTCTTTTTCTCAAATCTTTAATATCTAATCTCATGCTTTTTTTCTTTTTTTTCCTTTTTCTTTTTCTCTACTTTGTTCTTTAGTATTAGAGCCTATAAAAAAAAACCTATTATGTACCTCATTGGGCTCCAACTAGTAGCTTCAATCAATAGCAATGTTACTTATGGAACCTTATACCTCCAACGTCAACCCCTTACATGTGGAGTTGAACTTTAGGACGATTGTCTCTACGGAATTGATGGACCTCATAGCTCTTATTATCAGATAAATTTTTAAAAATTTTACTAATATTTTTTATCAAAAAAATTATATATTTCAATAGATCATGATTTTCATCACTTCTCACCCCTTTTTTTTTATTTATCATCTTCTCTCTTCTTTTGGCAACAAATATAGTATCACTAAATTTAAAACCTTAAAAATCATCAAAAATAATCAAAACAAAAAGTGAGAGAAAAAGTGATAATTATTTAAAATATTATATTTTTACCTTACGCAATACAATAATTAATAACCTCATTGCCAAGTGATAATTTGTCAATAGCATTAGTTAAAATCATGACTCGATGAAGTGAAAATCAAATCAATCTTGATAAATTCTTAAACTAACCAAGCAAGGTAGACACCCTTAGGACTAAGCTAGCAAATCCTGACATAATGTTGAATCAATTATATGACTATATGACCCAAGTCCTAAGAGCTCTCCAACACTTTGAAAAATGATTCCATGAATGAATAGGTTGATGAGTTGGTTAGGCAATATGTCCATTCTCCATGATCCATAGCTTCAAATTAAGAAATTTTACTTACTCCTTAAGCCTCAGTTCAAACAAATCTTAGGTCTACTCATATGACATATTCACAATCATGCTCTAATAATTCCTGATAACCAAGCTTTTGATAAATTCCTAGGACCTATTAAAAATCTACAAACTCGAGTAATTAGTCAATAGGTTTAATTTACTAACAATATACAAGAAATGACTAGAAGAGTCAAAAGCAAATGTGTTAAACTTTGATGATTGGTTTAACCCAAATGAATTTGTTGATTGGTTAGATAGCGGAAATACTAACAACATATCCAACATAATCTTGAACACTATCGAGAACCTCTCATCACTCAATGGGAAGTAATAAAATAAAAACTTAAGAAAATATATTTATCAACCTACTTTCGAAGCTAATTGGTTGAATAATTATTAAATCTTAAATAGTTAAATTCTAATGTGGCAAAGTATTTAGCCTAATTTGAGAAACTTTTCTTTATGTATGAAATAGAAGAATATCAAATCATCACTGTCTAAATATTTATTAATGGGTTGAGGTTTGACATCCAACAAGAAGTCTCCCTTAGTTTTTTCGATACCATGGAAGTAGCATCCTAACGAACCATTGAGATTGAGAAGTATATCAAACTTTATCCAATTCGTCAAGTAACTTTATCAAACCAAAATCTCTACTGTTAGTAATAATCCTAACCCAACCATCAATCGTCCAACTCATTCAACTATTAATTCTATCTCTATTTCAGTATCATTATTGTCATAATAGATGTCACATTATATCTTTCAATACAAAGATAAAAACATTATTTTATAACCAATAAAACTATTAAAAAAATAAGAACTCTTAAATCTCTTCTACAAACCCCAATCACCACGAGACTCTATTTACTGGATCTTAAATCTTTTGAAATGAGCAGCCTAGATAATAAATTTTGTATGACCATCATTGCTAAAAAAAATTTTACTTGCACTATTCCTAACCTAACTCAATTAAATTGTTATTAAATAAATTTCCTAATATCATACCCTTGAAATTACTAATGAGTTGTCATCCTTATAAAAAATCCAACATGCCATTGACCTTACACATATTCTACTTAACTATTATGTCTCGGAACCAACCCACTCCTTCGCTCAACATATTCATGATTTGCATGTTGAAATTACATAAAATTAGTCTAAATAATGAAAATTGCAAACTTGCTGCTAATATACAAGTCAAGAATTTTTAAGTTGGTGATTATGTCTTGGTTCAAATACATTTTGAGATATTCTCTAAAAACTCATTCAAAAAATTACACGCTTGAGCCATTCGTCCATTTGCCATTATCTAAAAATTAAGATCTAATGCACATATACTTCATTTGTCTTTCGAATTAAATATTAATTTAATTTTTAATGTGATGGATTTAACTCTATATCATGAAAATTTTGACCCTCCTTTCTTTACTGATGTTTCTGTAGATGACAGTTCTCCCAAAGCTTATCCCATTACACAAGGATAATATAAAAGTCATTCTTCACAACCATCTTATTATGTCTACTATTAGCATTACTTACTTTTTTTGTTTTTGTCAAATAGCATGATCTGATTCAAATGTCACTTACATTACTTTAAAAAAAGAACTAGACAAATACCTTACTTATCACTCTTCGGAGTTGAATTCCTTTTTACTAGAAAAGAATGATGAAAAATCATATAACTTTACAAAAGATTTCAAAAAAAATTATTCTAAGAAAAACAATTAACAAAAAATTATCAATTAATTGGTCTAAAAATTTTAAGAGTTATGTTTAAAATTTAAAAATATTTTGATCTAAAGACTACTTTTGTATTAAAGACACTCTTGTATTAAATATAATCATTTATTGTTTAGATATCCTAGAAATCATATTTTAGATTTCTATATTACATACTAATTTTTTAAGAGATTACTTGGACTTTATGGATGGATGAGTTACTTCATATTTAAATAAAAAAAATTACATCTTCTCTCCTTCTAGTATATTTCTCTCCTCTCTAATCTCTAATGTGTCTCCTCTCTTTTATCTTCACTCTAATATCTGATCTCATACTTTTTTGTTTCTTTCTTTAATCTCTAATCTCAGTCCTCTTTTACTTTCTCTCTATTTCTCCTACATCAATTGTACATCTAAAACAGTAAAGAAAGCAATGAGCAGAGGCATCATCATCCCTATTCAAGTGTTTATATTAAACGTTTGCAACTACCACAAATATTTTCAAGATCAAATTACTTTCAAAACAATAGCATAGCACAACCACAACAGCATACCAGTGTGACCTGCTAAATTTACAACAGAAGACCTACTTAATTTACAATATTTTTTAGATAAGCCCTTAGTCTTGCAAGGCAAAAAACCATCAATGTGAATTACAGGCTACATATCAATTGCATACGATTGAGAAGTGTGGCACATAAAGCTTGATATCTGTTTCCAAGAAGTCCAATCAATGTTTGAAGAAGAAAGGACCCTGTTTCCTAACTGAACCTTCCACATGTGACACTAAGATTATCTCGGCCACTGCTCCCTTACACTGTTCTAGATATATTTTTATTAGTCATGAGCCACCATCTTTGACATATTATTGTTAACTACACAGCACATTCAAAAAGGACTGACTTATTATTATGCAGAAGTCATA